ATACTCACCTTGTACAAGTTATGTAATCATAATTAAAATACAATAAAGGCAATAGCTGCCGATAACTATGGCCTTAGCAAAAGCAAAAAAAAAAAAAACTTTGTTTAATAGAGAATGGTAATTCTAGTATAGTGGTTGGGTTGTTATCTTCTAAGTAGTAGGTTTAAGGTTCAAATACCACTTATAACAAAATTTGAAAATTATATCTGTGTTATGATAACTGTTTTCTATCAATCAGTTGGCCTCATGCAACTGTAATCCAGATATATCAAGTCAGGTTCTATCGATATTAGAAGCTCAGAGCATCTATATAAAATATAACATTATACATGCATAGAGAAATGTATAACTAGTATTATATAAGACTTTAGTACAAACTCACAATAAGACCATTGGGTATAGAAAACTAAAGAACTGAAATAACAAAAACCTATTTGGAAATTCTTGAGTAAAGAAGTAGTACAAACTTTTGACAGTACTGTTGAACTGATAGAAGCTTACAAAACACCTTTATAGATAGGCAAATAAACCAGATACCAAGATATATAGAAGAGCATATGACCAACCAGGTTGCTGGAATAACTAGATGAAAAGAATACTAAAATATATTATACTAGGCCATCTGGATTGGAAATCTAGGGAGTCTGTTAGTTCTGAGTTATGGTTAGTAGGAGATAATAGAAAAAAAGTTAAAAAGATAGGTACTGAAGTTTGAGTAAACTTTATAAGAGTAGAAATAATATAATGTAATAGTTTAAAGTTAGTACTGACTGCAAATATTAGGTAACTATAGTGTATTACATAAAACTAGGTTAGCTGTATATAGAACATAAAAGACTCTAATAATAATGCTTCTGAGAATACACTATATGAAATAAGGTATAGGGTCCTAAGGGTATAAGTAAGCATTTAGATCTTCTCAACTAACTTATATAGTAAAGATGATCTAGTAATATATTAAGAATTGCAATACAGAGGGTTTAAATAAGCAATGTTTTTAGTTAGATTGCAGATATGGTAGCTAGTGTAAAACTATCAGCAGACTACTTAATTAGATACCAAAAGTGTATATATGACTAGTTGTACTTTCTAATATAAAAAAACTTCTTTAAAGCCTTAATCATAAGTTCTTATATCCTAATTACTGAATAAAAAACATCAGTCTCAAAAGAGATTAGTTTAATTACAAAAAAAAATAAAAAAACAATTAACTTTATTTGGTATATAAATTGTTAAAAATGAATTAACATCCTAGAAATTTGAATAATTGTTTGACAAATATATTAATTATAAATTTTATAAACTTGCTATATAAGTATATTTATATAAAAAATTATTATATATTTTTTATATTTACAAGTATTATTTATAAATTATTCTAATAAATTTTTTTAAAATTTTTAAAAAAAAAATTATCTTACATGTAATAATAATAAAATCATTAAGTTTGGATTAGTGGTTCTTGCAATATGTATATCTATCTAAAGTTTATAATCTTTAATCTATTTTTAAAAAAAGAACTACCAGTCTGATTTTAATAAATTTACTACTATTAGAACCAGAAAAGTCTAATAAACAACTTTAATTAATATCAAAAAAAGGTTTACTTAATTATAATATCTCTTTCGAAGTACTTTTATGTATTTTAAAAGATGACATTAGCAAAAATAAAGGATGAAAATAGCAACTTTCTAAATTTATTTTTAAACCTTAATCTTATAATATAATATATATAATTCTAAAAGTATAGTTTAAAATAACAGGTATTAAATTTAATATTATTAATAAGCTTTTTAATTTATTTTATAAAATATAATGTATCAGAAGTGATGATACGGCCTATAATATATATAACTATTGCATTGAGATGTAATACGTATACATAATTTGAACAAATAAAAACAGAACTGTCAAATTAATAAAAAAAAGCAAATTACAAAAATTTCAATATAACTTTATAAAAGAAATGTTAAGACTTCTTTTTATTAAGTTTAATATCAATTTAACATGCAATAGGCTAAATAACTACTTAAATCTTTTAGAAAATATTTTCATACTTTTGCTTCAAATATAGTTTACTAATACTGTTATAAAGATAGACATGATGATCAATCGTCACATATTATAGTCTATGTAATAAATCTGCAATATTGAAAATTTATATGTATGGAATAAACATATGTTTGATTTTATCAGGTGATCGGCCACCCACTGTTATTTATTCTTATTGCACGGGTCTTATGTAACAACACGTGCTTTTTTCATTTACTTATTGGCACGGGATTGTACGTCAGACACCATACAATAACTATAACTTATTATGTTGCTAATCCGAACTTTATAATAAAATTTACAAATGTTCTGTCCGGTTTTTACAGAATTTATAAGGGTTCGGATTATCCAAGTTCGGATTTAGGAGAGTTGACTGTATATCGATATAGCAATTTATAGGGATTATAATCCGGATATAGCTATAGCGATAGTAAATTATCCAGATAACGGATAAGTCGGGTAATTTAATGATACCCATGTATAGGTTTTTTTTTTAACGAATCTCTAACGCTAATAATTTACTATAAAGATTGGTCAATTTTAACATTTTAGATCCTAAAAACTTGGGATAATCGTATACTCTTTTAATTAACTATCTGGGTTCTCATCAGTTGTTTTAACGATAACGGATCCAAGATCAGTTACGTAATCAGCATTTAAAATTGATTACAGAATTCTGACGGTCAATTGAATGCATAACCAAGTAAAGAGTAAAAAGCGCATTCGAAAAAAATTCTAAAGTTACTAATTTTCTACCTATTAATGCATATGGTTTATAGAAATACTTAATCCTTAGACGACTTTTATTTCCAGTACTCTTTTTTTTTTGAAAGGTGTATATTCAACATCAACACAGTCATTTATTTCAGACAATAAAAAACTTTTTTTTTTCGATCATTTCATGTTCTTGGAAGACCTTTGCACACTTCAACTTCATTATATCAATTACATTTTTTTGAATCAATATAAAGTTTAAATCAATATTTTTTCAGCATTAATCATTGTTTTCGTGGAAGATCAAAAGATGTTTTATACATACGTCTCTGAAGATGTATGTCAATAACTTTTATGGGAATAAAGTATGACTAATAATTTATAATTATATTATACACCGTGAACTTTATATTAAGAAGTGGTTGGATTCATTTCAATTGGTATTGATGTACGTATTATCTCCCTTTTGGTTTGTTCAGCTTCTACAATGAAATTTTAATAAATTAATAAATATAAAATTTTATAATAAATAGAACATCCATTTTTCCAAGAGGACTATTAAAAATAATAACAATAGCGCAAATGCATTACTTATTAATTATTATGTGTGGTAAAACTTCACTATTTTTTTAAAAAAATTATTGCGTCCAGAATCTATGCCATTTTTCTCGCTTTCGTACCCGATTTAAGCGTTTAATACAAGTCCTTTTATTAGCTTCAAATCAATTGGAAACAGTCAACGTTTTAAAAACATTTTTCAGATTAATAATTTAAAAGTAAATCATCATCAATCGATATCAATTATATTATTTTAAACTTCGTATGTAAAGAACTTTGGTGGTTATGCTAGGTTCGTGTTCGCAGTGCATTCATTTCCAATATTTTTTTTTTTTTTTGAATAAACAATTTAAATTTATATGCCTTAATCATTATTTTATTTAATTCGTCAAAGTCAATGATGATTAATTCTAACACTAACGTTGATTAACCCCTTAATTAAAAACCAATAAAATTTTAATAATAGTTTAAGCTTTAATGGTGAAATCCGTCGGATATCCGTTAAATTTAATATGAAAACGGATAATGAGTCTAAGCTCCAAAACACATCTTGAATTTATATTATATATCGCATATGATTCAATAAATTGATCTAGCCATTAACATGTTTCGTTTTGATATGAAGATCATTGATCATTGCTCAAAATCGAAATTATATAAAATATCTTTGACCATATTTTTCGAATAAACCGTATGTAAAAATTTTTTTCTTTTTTTTTTGTTTTAGAGAAAAGAGAGAAAAAAAAAGAAAAAGGTTCGCTTTTGCTATAAAAAAAAAAAAATAGCAAATATAACCAATTTTATAAACTAAATATTAGATGGATAAATCATCGCATATCGATAAACATGGCTCAAGAGATCCAAACACTGCAGATACGAATTTGGACAAGCCGCAATTATATCAAACAATTGTCAATATGCCAAACGAACCAACGTCGACACCCACAGCATCCACATATAACAATGCGGAACAACCCCCGAAGTATATAACAACACAGCCTCAACCTATACAATATCCAAGTTTTTCAGCATCTATTCAAAACGGCAAATTCCCTTTGAACGATGACAAACCAGTGCTCATTAAGCTTTGTAAAATCTGTCAGGAATCTGATTTAATAGAGGATAAAGAAGGAACATACGTAAAGGGCAAATTAATATCACCATGTAAATGTACGGGTTCTATGCAATATGTTCACATAGGATGTTTGAATCAATGGCGAGCATCTTCAGCTCGAGAGGATTCATCATACCAATGTGAAATTTGCAAATACGAATACAAATTTTATCGTCCAACCTTTGCGAAAATTATTTCTAGTCCTATTTTTTTACATTCGGTAACTATATTAATGTTTTTATTGGTTCTTTATAGCATTTCATGGATAGTGAAATTGATTGATATTAGAATTAAGAAAGGACAAACTAATTATGATAAATCATGGATGGATGCACCAATTTTAGGCCTTAAATTAGTTCATATCATTTATGGAATATGTATAGTCTCAATTATGAGTTTATGTTATATGATGTTTGATTCTTGTCGTAAGGGATATCATGATACAAGAGATAGTTATTGCTATTGTGGTGGGTGCAATTGTTTTATGCCTTGGTGTTTTTGGGGCGCTCCTTCTGATTTAACTGACTTTAGTGCTATTGCATTGGTGATATTTATAATTATGTTTGCAATCATGATCATGATAGGAATTATTTTTACTTTGTGTACTGGTTATTTGTTGTTACAAAAAAATGTTAATGCTCATTTAAATGGTATAAAAGAAAGGATCTTGGAAGTTGAAAAAGAATTATAGTATAGACGAAAAAAGGTTAAATGGTATAGTAAATAATTACGACTGAAAAACTGATATGTAATGTATCATAAAAGTCACTAACATATCATGCTATTTAAAATTAACGTACACATCCTAAATTTTAATGTTTATTGTATAACATAAATCTTTTTTACGTGACAAAATTCCTCTGAAGTTGGGAAAGATGAAAGGTGAAGCTTGATGAAAATCAAGCCCACCAACTAGGATATGAAGAATAAACTATCGCTATAGTTAGTAATCAATTTTTTTATGGTGTTAAAAAAAAGGTCTTAGCCAGTATAATTTGAATTATCTGAGAAAAAAATACCATTTTTATTAGTTATTCTGTTTTTTAAGTTTTTAGACTTAGAAAAATAAGTAATTTTGCTCTAAAGTTCAATGACTTCCAACATATATATATAATTCATATACTACAGTAACTACATATAGTTATAAAAAATTTTAGAGATTATTAACCTTGATGTATAATAAATTTTAAGACTCAATTCGGACAAATGATGATGATAAACATATTCGGATAATATACAACTTTATTGTCATAAAAATTTGCTAATACAGGTCACCCTCCTCAATATCAACCCGTTAATATCAACCTAAGCCACATGGCAAATTTTATAAAATTTTATATATTAAAATTCCCTCATATATGTCAACTTTAATGTATATTTAATGAAAGAAAAAGGATGAACACTCCCATAAAAAATTCATACGTATTATCTAAGGAATTCAACTTTAATTACCAACTTTGTTGGATGAAACTAAAGGAAAAAATGAAAATAATTCCGGTAGTAACTAAAATAGTAGTAATATGTATGTATCAGGTGATAATAATGATTATTAATTGTGGTGCCAAGGATAATCATTACATTCGAAGCAGACCTTATCCTCCTTTTTTAGTACCTAAATTTACTTAGATCGACTTGTTTCATAAACTTGGCTTTGAATAAGATATTTTGTACGTCAAATTAAAAATAAAAAATTTGTCAGACCAAAAATTTAAATAGTGTTTCATTAGGGTGAGAATAAGTATTAGCAAGGTTGTATTATTTTAGCCTGAGGCAGATATTAAACTTGACGTACAATGTATATCTAATGGTAATCATAAATAATGAGGCAAAAAAAAAAAAATGTTAGATCGTGCAATTCGGGATTGAATTCTTGATTTTTTTATATTATATTCGTAAATAGTATCCTTAGAATTTTAGTAACGGTTATTAAAACACTGATGCATTATTTTGACAAAAATTAAAACGCGCAATCTGTGAAATGTAAATACATATTAGTCACACGATTTGTCACGGAGATCGGGGGGATGAAATTTTTCCTATTAAATTTGAGTGATCGACATTAATATAATAAATCAATTTTTCATAGTGTTATCCGGCTAAGCCATGTGACACGGCTACTCCAAATTAGGGTGACCCGGCCCACTTAGGCTATTTCGGCTACGTAGGCTAATTCGGCTACGTAGGCTACGAATGCCATGTCGGGTAAGTATGAGTTGGAAACGAAGTAGTAGAATTAGCGGACGTATTAGACGTAGTAGTTGTAGCAAACGTAGAATAGCAAATGTAAATAAAGAATTCTAAGATAAATAAAGGCCGTAAAGGCCCTAGAGAAGGGAGAAGAAGTCCTTTGCTTTATTAGAATAATACCTGGCCCTTACATAATAATAAATACATGAACGTCTCCCTTGCTACATTAATTAATCGCTAAATTCCCAGACCATAAAACCCGCTTCTTGAAGTTTGCTGTTCTAACCCAAAAAGTATTGTTACCCCCCCCATCCGGCTGTTGTATCCTAAAGTACCAGGATCAGCCGTGGTTGTATCGTTCCACTATTCCGAAGGAGTGAGGATAGTGTGGTTATACGTGTCGTCCAATTACCCGAAGTAGTGAGGTAATTGAGGAATAGAGTTAGTAAGTCCAAGAGAAGGAAAACGCAAGACAAGTAAAGAAGAAATACTCACCTACGGACTCAAACCACTGACCAAATCTAAACGCCTCTTTTCGACTAAGCCAACTGTAGGTTACACGAAGTTTAGGATTGCGGAGTGACTGACTCATCGTAACGCCCGATTTCATTTGGTGGTGACTGTGAGATACGAATAATATAGATATAAGAAACGCGAAGATAGAATAAAGTAGAGGAAAGAAAGGTAGAAAGATAGAATTAGTATTAGAAATAAGAATGAGAACAGCAGCAGAACTTTAGAATACTTACCTAAGAGGACAAGAAG